GCAAGTTGCGACAACGAGGTCACCTCACTTCCATATTAAGTAGCTTTGGGGGATGGGGATGACAGAAACTGGGACAGGGAAAGACGAATAACAGAAATGTTTGACACAAAATTGATCAAAGGGAATGACATCACTTATCACTTTGATGAGTTAAATCAGTATTAAAGCTAGCGCCACTCATTGATGAAATCGGCGAAAAGTCAATCAATTAAGTCAACGATTTGGTGCTCGAAACTATTATAGATTCTATGGCTGAGGATGCACGACTAAGAATGTTCCACAATGGCTGCTTTCATCCCTACAAGGTAAAAATATAAACATTTGGTACATAGTTGTTTGACCTTGTTTCCGCTACATGGTCATATTGGTAGGATGACTTAGAGGAACGCACCTAGTCCGGAGACAAGTCTTGTCTCTTTGACGAGTTGTAATATGGTGCTACGAATGGCCAGATTCACTGATGATGCCGGTGAAACTTCTGGGAATGTCCTACGTCCACGGTCCTACTCTGGAAATGATGATGCATACAATGGACTTCGGACTAGGTGCGTTCATCTAAGTCTTCCTACCAATATGACCAAGTTGCGAAAACAAAGTCAAACTACTTCTATACAACGAAAGGAGACTGCGACCACACAAAATTCTACACAATCTTGGTCTTCATACCTTCGATTAAACATTTGGTAAGTTGGTGAGTCTTGCAAAGTAAGGGTTAAACATGTGGTAAAAAGTGCGGTATGTTTTATTATCGCTAATGCAAAGTGAGAAACGCTAGACGAAAAACATGAATAAATTTTCATAGATATGAAAACCAAGATGGTGTATCCTCGTATTTGGTCGCAGTCTCCTCTAGCTTTATAGTGTTGATCTGATCTCCTTTTCATAACTTGGTCGGAGCGTCAGGAAGATTGTGTAAAACCTACCTTGGTCAGAACGTGGCGACGATTGTAGCTAGTTGGCTGACAGTAGGTTTTACAAGAGACGTGGTCCATGTAGCAAAGGCATGACTATGAGACTTACACTGAGGCTTTAGCCTCTAATTGATCCACCAGGTGCAGGGGATGGACGAAATACGCCTCGAGTAGCACAGATGGGGAGGCAGGGGTCGAGTGAAATACATGTACCAAGGAAATAGCAGACGGATTCTACGGAGCAAGGGGCAGACTCTAATAGGACCCAGGGAAGGACAACGTAACAATATGACAGACTATGGTCAACATTCCCTGCACAAGGGTGGAGGGAGTGATAACGAAAGTGTGGGGTGTGAAGGGTTTTCATAAATGCCGCTTAAAGAAGCACACGACACTACATTAAAAATAAGCACAGTAAAAATTGTGACAGGGAAGGTATGATAGGAGGATATAGGAAATGTGAATAGCCCAGGACAGAAGGCTAGATACCACAACTAAGCTAAGGAACATGATTATGGTTAGATTTAGTTGGAAAGTAGCATATATAGAGTCCCTAATAATCTGGAATAACTCCTATCATAATAAATCTATAGACTGACCAGTGAAAACAAAGGGAAAATAGACTAATAAAAATGATGTATAAAAGAGAAAATTTCTAATTACTATAAAATAATATTTTATTAAAATAAGTCGAACCCAACGGTTGGCAAAAAAATGAAGAAAAAAGCAACCATTTGATGGATAAAAAATAACTTTTTATAAGTAGATCAAATATGTTAAATGTAAAAATCCGCAGAGGTTAATCAAAACTTTTTCTTGGCAGTTATGTTTAAACTATGTAAAGTCTTTTAAATGATTGAGTTCAAGTAAGAAACCAAGAGAAATAAAAGTTTGGTTTGAGTTAGGCTTTTATGCATATAAATAGATTAATAGATCATATGCAACTGTATAACTGCAGGTTTTGCAATCCTAATATAAAGCACATTACAATAATTTGTAGATACCGAAGACAAGAGCCTCCCAAAAATGAATAATTACATAGTTTAGCTTCTTAAACATGCTTGTAACAAGCACAATGGCACATATTTAAGGATAAAGTAAAACATTTGCAAGGATCTCTTGGCTAGTGTAAGCGAAGTTAAAATATCAATGTACATTGGGTATAATAAAAGAATATAAGAAATCAATATACCTTAAAAGTATCCTTGTAGTTAGCCAGGTGATATCTGACTTCATCATTGATATCCAAGTCAAAGGCCACTATTCGTCCCATTTTCGATGGTATGAGGTTATTCTCAGGAATATTGATTGGGCGAGAAGGATCTAATATGTCTTCAGAGTAATCTACATATTTAAGCCACATTGATCTGGGAAGCGAGGGTGTAAGGAAAATAGGAGCATTATCGTTGACATCATCCAGGAAAATGGTAAGAGGATGAGAAACACAAAGCGGAGGGGTGTCAAGATCACATGCTAGCAAAAGTATTCTATAAGCCGAAACACGCTCCCGATCTAATGGTGAAGCAACGATCAAATGGACACCATTTTGGGACAGGAGTATACCACTACCTTTAATGCTACTGAATCTGGGTTTCAAAAGGAAAGCCTGTAGCATGGTGTACTTTGATTGAGACTCGGACTTAGATAAGGCGAATGTGTCTGACATTTCTGTTCCAATAGCTTCAATCCCATAGATAATATGGCTATTTAGTGAGAAATCAGAGTTCTCTTCAATTATTATATCCAATACTTCGGTACCTAAGGGTACATTTTCTGGGAGATGAATCCTAGATTTCATTAGGGAGAAACGAAGGTCTTTTCGATGTTTGAATGCAAGCTCTGGTAGAACCTGCACGTATTTTTTTTGTCTACCACGTTGTGATTGCATTTCCTGATAGACGTTTGAAGGTTTGCATATACTGCGATAAAAATTTGGGGCTCTGACAAGCTTTTCATGACTACCTGAGACAATATGCAAGATAAATTCCAATGGGTTTACAGATGTATGTTTCATATCATATGCTACCAAAGT